ATAATAATAATAATAATAATAATGATAATGATAATGATAATGATAATGATAATGATAATGATAATGATAATGATACTGATAATAATAATAATAATAATATGCCATTATTTTCATATGAAAATCAAATTATTGAACATAATCATATAAATGGCAGCAAATTCACAACAGAATTTAAAAATAATCAAAAAGTCAGTAGTAGGCTTTATCTTTCAAATTTGACAATTGGCCAAATAAATTTTACTTCACTTCTCTCCTAATTCTACAAAAAGAAAACAAGTACCTAGGTAATTTTTAAATAAGCGAATACTGTATTAAGTAAAAAACACAACAGAGGTAATTGTTGAAGTAAAATAATTTTATTACTAACTGACAAGTTTGAAAGATAAATTCATTGCCACTCGATTATTTTCTAATAAACACTGTTAAAATCTTGTTTCAGTTAATATGGTTTTTCTTGAAAACCATAAAGTTTTCTAAAATTTAACACGAGTAAAAAAAAATTTAAAATTAAATTGCTGTGAATTAATATTATTATTTTTCAACTCGGTCAATGTAAAAAAAGTTCGGAACAATTTTAGGGGTGAGTCATCTCCAATGAACACCTTGTAGTGCTTCAATTAACTTTAAATCATAGTCAAAGAAGACCAGTAATAAACCTAAATCATGTACCAAAGGACGCCGCACAAACCTTATGGAAAATGGCTTTCGGTCAAAATGGCTGAAATTGAAATATGATGTAGCTCTCACCTTCCTGAGCAAAAGTTGTCATGGGCCCAAAGCGATCCTATGTGTAGGTTTAAAAATATAGACTCTATATTATAGAGCTTTGAAGCTAACGATTTCATAACACGGTGCTGAATATAAGTGCGAGATAGGTGTACAGTATATCTCCCTTTCTCCGTATATACAGGGTGAGTCAGTTTTTGGTAGATAAACTTTAACAGGAGATAGAACACATGTTTTTAAAAAGAAAAGTCCCTATAAACCTATGTCGTAGAAGGCTTCGTTTCCGAGATACGGGGTGTTGAATATAATTTTTTTTTCTCGAACATTCATTATAACTTATAAACGAATGTTTAGATTTTTTTCATGTTTGGGAGATAATGCCTATTAATTAAGGGATATAAAATAAGCGATAAAAATGTTCAAAAACTTACACAGTGGCGGAGTGGAGGGGGTGCTCAACCCTTTTCTTAAACAGAACTTCTACGCCAATGACTATTTAAAAAAAAACTGTTATTTTCATTATCCACATATGTGTTTGTTGTGGTACTAAATTAAGTAATTTATTTATTATCAATTATCGGCTAAATATATCATTCTTTCAACGAAACCTACTTGAATATGGTTTGTTAATGATTTTAAAAAGCCGAAATCTCTTATTCTTTATCTCTTTCCAATGCCAATGTAGTCAAAATAAATATTTGTTATTTCAAGCTTACTCAAATACAAGACTTTTATAAGTTGAAATCTGTTACATTACATACATACAATACATTATTGTGCAGTTGCCAAAAAGTTTTAAGAAGTTGTTAATTAAATATTGTTATAAATTCAAAACATTTCTCCATAAACATTAACATCAATGTTCATTCAATGTTTTTTTTTGTAATTTAGTTGCAGTACATTAATATTTACGCAGCACATAATAAATAAGGATTGTTAAAAATTAGTATACTAAACAGATTTCAACTTATAAAAGTCTTGTATTTGAGTTTGGCTTGATATAACAAACATTAATTTTGACTACGTTGGAAAGAGATAAAGAATAAGAGATTTCGGTTTTTTAGAATCCTTAACAAACCATATTTCGGTAGGGATTTCGAAACAGAAGAAGGGACATTATTTTTGTTAAACTGTATGTAGATAATGAAAATAACAGTTTTTTTTAACTAGTCATTAGCGTAGAAGTTCTGTTTAAAAAAGGGGTTGAGCACCCCCTCCACTCCGCCACTGTGTAAGTTTTTGAATATTTTTATCGCTTGTTTTATGCCCCTTAATTAATAGGCATTATCTCTCAAACATGAAAAAAATCTAAACATTCGTTATAATGAATATTCGAGAAAAAAATTATATTCAACACCCCGTATCTCGGAAACGAAGCCTTCTACGACATATGTTTATAGGGACTTTTCTTTTTAAAAACATGTGTTCTATCTCCTATTAAAGTTTATCTACCAAAAACTGACTAACTCTGTATATACAGGGAAAGGGAGATATACATACACCTATCCTGCACTTATATTCAGCACCGTGCTATGAAATCGTTAGCTTCAAAGATCTATATCTTAAACCTTCACATAGGATTGCTTTAGGCCCATGACAACCTTTGATCAGGAAGGTGAGAGCTATATCATATTTCAATTTAAGCCATTTTGACCGAAAGCCATTTTCCATAAGGTTTGTGCGGTGTCCTTTGGTTCTTCTGCGGTAAAGTGTTGCAGATATTTTTTGTTTCGAAATTTAGGGACCCACTTTGGGGGCTAATAACTCCTAGGGGTGTAACTTTGTATATAGGTAAGTTTGGCTAAATTACAATATTTTGGAGACCCCTACATGCATCTGCCCTGTGTCGTTTTTTATGCGGGACACCCTGTATATTTAGACATATTTTTAGTTTTTACTTTGGATTATTATTTATCACTAGCTGCTTACTAGGTATTAGCGTGGTATAATTCAATACAAAACAAAGTAAAAATATGAAAGCTAATAACAGAATATGTTTTAAAATGAAAAAATAACAATTTACTTACATTGCTTGTGTCCCAGGGACCCCGGTCGTTAGGAAATGACATTTTCATTACAAATCAATTATTGGAAAGACCCTCTTGGTACCTAAAATTCTTGCCTTCACCACAACCTCCCCTGAAATTGAACAACTACTAAACAACAATCGTTCACTTTTCCTGCACCGCGATACAAGTAGATCCTGGTCCGCAAAACCCTTGGCTAAAGCGCGAAATTTCAGCCCTTATTCGATTGGCCGGGGTGGTCGTAAGGGTGGTTTTATTGCTTCGCCAGCCAACAGGCGTCTTTGAACATGTTGCACCCTGGGAGAGTTAGTTTGGCTTGTATTGTAGTAAATTGTAAGGGTAGATTTCGCTTGCGAGGGATTATCGACTTTATCCTGCGGGGTGGTTTGGTCTGATGGGCAAAATGATGAACGAAATTCTGTTGCGATTGATAGTTTGTCGTATACTTATGGATCCAGATACAACGGATGTCCGTTTCTACCCATCAAAGAAAACGTGCATGACATCTTTTCCAGGATACCTTTTGAATAAGCGGTGCAGCGAAAAAAATGAGTCACATACCTACGCAGGAAATAATGATACTATTGTGCTGATAATAATTATTTATATAGAAAATGCAACTAAATACAATTTGTGTCGCATATACCTACCAACAAATTGCATTTATATCAAATGCTGTATTTAACTTTAATAAAATTTTATTCAATACAGGGTGTCCCGTTTAAAACTCTTCAGCTGGATATCTCGAAAATGGAAAAAGATAAATGATTTCTGAAAAATCCACTGTATAGTTTCAATAAATGGCTTTACTTGTGAGTACAAATCCCGTTCCTCTCAGTGCAGGTATAGATGTCGCTGCAATCTGAAAACATATTTTGTTGACAGCAGTTTTAAAAAGTGGCGCACATGAAAGATCTCTCAATTATAAGCAACTTTTGTCATATAAACAATTTTTGAAAAGCCACTAGTTTCCGAGATACTTGGATTTGAGGTAATTTTTTTTTCAGGAGGAAGATTTTTTAAAGTTAAGTTTTCAGGCATAACTACTGCAGATTTTGGTCGTATTAAATTGCTTTGAATAAAACAGTGATGAATTAATTTTATTTAACTAATACATATCACAGGAAATTACTTCAGTTAATCTTGTTTAGGCAAATCATAGTCTTTTCGATCAAGATAAAGTAATATTTATTTAACAAAAACTGATGCAAAATTAACAAAAATTACAAATAAACGATACTAAATTAACATAATACACGAGTCACAATAAGTGTTCAAAATTGCCGCCATTCTCATAAATACATAATTAATATATATTTTTCTAAGTTCGGTATCATTTGCCCGTAATAAAACATTTCGAGGAATAGATGCACAGCTCGCATAAATTTTATGCAACAAGTCGGGTAAATCTTCAATTTCTGTTTGGTAAATTAGGTTCTTTAGGTAACCCCACAAGAAAAAATCGAATGGGGTTAAATCAAGGTGCGGGCAGGCCACCTTATTGGACCATTGGTGCCTATCCATCGCCCCTGAAAATAATGAGTGCCCAGTCTTGCTGGAACCAGATATTTTGTCTCATAACTAAAGGAACTTCTTCCAAAAGAACATTTCCGTTCAAATTTTCCTCATATAAATAGGGTTCAATTAATATGCCATTAATAATACCACACCATACATTTATAGAAAACGTGGTTTGGAAATGTCTGTCTTTCGTCCATCTAGTGTTACTGTCATGCCAGAAATGGCTATTATGTCTATTCAAAATGCCATTTTTTGTAAATCGACTCTCTTCAGTCCATATAATGTTATTTAAAAACTGATCGTTTTCTTGAGCCTTTATTTCCATTTCTGCAATAAAATTTAGTCTTCGTAGCATAATACCAGGACGTAAATTATGTAAAAGATGCATTTTGTAAGGATGATACGTATTTCGCTTCAAGATATTATGGACCAGTGTTCCAAAAATCCCCGTTTCTTGTTGTATAGCTCGCATCGGGGTATGTGGATTAGTTTCAACCTTACCGTCCTTTCCAAAGACCTCAGAATGACTAGACAAGTAATTCCCTATGTATTGCAAAGGAATTGTTTTGATTTTCCACAACTTGAGACATCCTGCTATTAAACAAGGATGAAGATAGTTCTTTGTTTACTAGGGAACTCTTAACCAGTGGCGTGTGTGTTAAAAAGGGTGATACATTTTAATATTTGTCTAATTTATATATACTTACCGATTTCACACCTAATTTGGTTTTAAAATAATGTTAATGACTTCTTTTTTAAATAAATAGAACCATGTTTGTTTTACTCCATAACGGCACTTACTGCCGAAAAAAAGTAATACTAGTTACAACAATCTTTATTTTCTCAGTAACAATATACATCAATATGTTAAATAATACTAATTAATAAAAGTTTTTACCAGTTCAAATAGGAATCACAAAGTTACAGTTACAGTTGCATATAGTATGGTAGCTATACTATACTTGTATACAATAATATGCATATCAAGTAGGACAATTAAGTGATAAATGAAAGAGAAATAGTAAATGGGGTTATTACACATATTTTTAAGTTCTTTAATTCTTAAAACAGATTTATTGGATCTAATTTGTTATGGTGACAATTGCTACAAAGTGATCCCGAATTATGTGCAAAAAATTGTTTATACAATTTTAATAGGGGTCCTGTATTTTGACTAAACGAACTTGGGAACTCAGGAACTGCTGTGTCCTTAAGATAAACTCGGCCACCAGGTCTTATTAAGAAATCACTTGATGTGAAGTGATCTGAACATACAACACTATCTTTAGGACTATTTTCCTTTCCTATACAGCTCAAAATGCGAGAGAGCCAAACGTCTCGGCGTTCAACATTCGAAGGAATCCTAAAATCAAATTACCTAGGTATATTTCCTTTTAAATAATGTTGCCTTTGCAATTCATGTTACTTTTTATTTAACCGTAACACACAATTCACGTTTTAAAAAAATATTTTATATTTTCAATATTATTGCACTGAAAATTTTCTATTTCAAATTTTGTTTTAAACTACCGTCTGTTATCTGTTACGCCCATGGTAAATCTACCTACCTGTGAAAAGAGCGATTGCCTCCACTTTTAAAGCGAAATCTACATATAACACAATATTTTCCCATTGTCTATTCACAAAAACAATAAATTCTGCCAAAGAAACTAATAATCCACGGTAAACACAACGTTAAACTCAGTAAGCATGCAAAGAATTAATGGCGGCCGACAGTCGTAAACAATAACAAACATCTAGCAAAGAGCAAGTACTGCGCGCGCACCTTACCACATGTGTTTAGCCAATGGGAGGCTGAGTTCTCAAAATATTTACAGTAGAACAAAACAAACCAAGACAATGCACTGTCTATCCTTTCTGAGGTCGTTGGTCCTTTCCTAATACCACGACAGTGTTTCTGTCATTTGTAACAGTGCTTCTAGGATGCTTCTTTTTGTTAAAAGAACCACAATGAAGCAAATTCGTCGATAAAGATAAAAAGGTTTTATGATCGGGATGTCGACGGTTTGGGTAACGTACCTGATAAAGTATTTCTGCTTCTCTGGAATTTCTACGGCATTCACCGAATATTAAAATTATATAGATATCCTTCATTCGTGTACTAGACCATACTGAATAAATGTCAAATGTGTCAAAGGTGAAGGTGTAGACTTGTAGTTATGGTAATAGTAATATGTAATCAACTTTGACACTTCAAGAAAACAAAAGAAGGTTCAAGAAAACGACCAGTTTTTAAATAACATTATATGTACTGACTATGGATATTATTTCTAATTTTTGTTAATTTTGCATCAGTTTTTTGTTAAATAAATATGTATTACTTTATCTTTATCGAAAAGACTGTGATTTGCGTAAACAAGATTAAATGAAGTAATTTCCTGTGATACCTATTAGTTAAATATAATTAATTCATCACTGTTTTATTCAAAGCAATCTAATACGACGAAAATCTGCAGTAGTTATGCCTGAACACTTAACTTTAAAAAATCTTATTCCTGGAAAAAAAATTACCTCAAATCCAAGTATCTCGGAAACTATTGGCTTTTCGAAAATTGTTTATATCACAAAAGTAGCTTATAATTTAGAGATCTTTCATGTGCGCCACTTTTTAAAACTGCTGTCAACAAAATATGTTTTCGGATTGCAGCGACATCTATACCTGCACTGAGAGGAACGGGATTTGCACTTACAAGTAAAGCAATTTATTGAAACTATACACTGGATTTTTCAGAAATCATTTTTCTTTTTCCGTTTTCGAGATATCCAGCTGGGGAGTTTTAAACGGGACACCCTGTATATTCATTATCTATTCTGCTATACCTAGGTTAAATAAATATTAATAAAATCTCGAAATTTAATAGATTTCTATATACAGGCTGTTACAAATTCGCTTCTCACAACCAGGGATCCCGGAAACGGTAAGAGATACAACCTAGCTTAAATGGCGGCAAAGTTGTATATTCAGGGAACCAACATTATGCCTCTAAAAAATTAAGGCTAACATGATGAGTTTTCGAAATATTTGAAAAAAAAATGAAATTTTGGAAATCCGTTTATGTTTCATTTCAAGGAGAACATTTTCTCATGGCAACTTTTTGCGTTCTATCGAATGGCATAATCAATTCTTATATGTCATTTTTTGTCTCTCCAGGACCATCATCAACTTCATTTTCTTACATACTAACGACACTTAGAGTGTACCATAATTCAATAAATATAGAAATTTAAACAAAAAAATTATATAAATCTCAAACGAATACATTGAAAATGAATTTGTCGAGACAAAAAGTCTGAATCTGGTTCGGACTGAGGCAGTACAGTATTGGGGGTCAAGAGGGCTTGCAAAAAATGTAATAAAATTTAAAGGGTCGTATTTTTAAAAATGAAGTTGATGGTTGTCCTGGAGAGACGAAACGTACATATAAAAACTGATTATGTCATTCGACAGAGGACAAAAACTTGCCATAAGAAAGTGTTCTTTTTTGAATATCACCTCAAACAAGTCT